AGTTCTGGTAAACCTGATTGAATCTGTCTGAACACAATAACATACATCACATGTGGATATTGCATGACATTTACACATTCACATTGTTTTTTCCATTATGATTATTTTTTTAAACAAACAATATTTCAATCTGAATTTCCAACACAACATTTGTGTGTGTGTGTGTGTGTGTGTGTGTGTGTGTGTGTGTGTGTGTGTGTGTGTGTGTGTGTGTGTGTGTGTGTGTGTGTGTGTGTGTGTGTGTGTGTGCCTTGCCGGCCAGCCCAGTGAGATTAATAGGGCTCAGTGTAATCAGGAGGTAATGAGAGGCTCATACGTCTAGACAGTGTTCAGTCCAAACTGTAACTCCTACACCCAAGAACACTGCAGAAATATGGCAGCACCAAAGATAAAAAGTAAACGTTTTTTTCAAATCTTAACTGTATGCCACTATTATGATAGTCACATCATCCAAAGATACAGAGCTAATATTGAAAGAATGAGGCCAAATCCTTTTTCAGCATACACATAAAAGTGAACAGTGTGATTTACTATGGAACAACAAGCTAATGTAAAAAGCCTTTTCTTTTATCAGTCCCTATACCTTTCGAAGCAGAGCTGCAGAGAGGAGTAATGAGGGGAGGGTTAAGAAGACGAACGCATATCATCAGACTTTCTGCCACAACCTCCCAAAACCACAGAAAAATAAATAAGCCAAAAGAAGTGGAAAAAAACGTACATGACTGGAAAAAATGATCTCATGTTTAGTCATGTAGCTTTACAGGAGAATACCCAGGACACAACTAAATATGTTATCATTATATTTTGATGACAACCTTGTCAAACTACAGAGCAGAGCTGTACGTAGATATAGGAAAGAGGGCAGATAGAGGAAGAAATATGAAATCTGGGTGGCCAAAGAGCTGCTGATGATGTGTGGGTTAGACCTGAACGCTGGACGCCTACAAAGTAGTTGTCATGAAGATAAAGGATACTCCCCCGGATAAGTGAACCATCCGCTGTCTCTGGCAAGAAGGATCATTTCATTTACCGAAGACTACATATGACAAATGTGTTGATCATAAAAACAACGACACTGAGATCTTCCAGTTTTCCTAAGTGATTTTAGAGGTCCATGCCAAAGACAGCAGCACTTACTCATGGCGAATCTGAAAAGCTCATGAGGTTAGAGAGCTGGTGCAGAAGCAACTTTTTCATCATTATTAAATATGAAAAGGGGGTTAAATATTAGTCATTGTCTTTTACGGGAGCGTTTGAAAGATTGAAACGGCCGCTGGTTCATCATAAACAACAATATGATCCAACAACTATAAGCATCTTTATGGACTTGAGATGGTTTTTTACTAAGTTTTGCAGTTTTCCAAAACAGCTTTACTTTCATTTTGAAGCTGTGTGAGAGAAGCGAGAACATATTCTAAACACGATTCGCCGAAAATGTCCCAAGGATTTGGTCAAATGTAAATCATCAAATTGTAATCCAGCTGTTGTGAATAAAACTGTTTACCTTACCCCTCCTCCGTCCACACAAGAGCCCTAATAAAGAAAAGGTATCAGAGGTGAACAAACCCCAACACATAGTAAATAACAATTAATACATGTCAGAACAGATGCACTTCTGCATTATGTCAAACATTATAGAATGGTCAAACAAACAACCAAATTAATTATTATTGATATTGTTTTGTGGATATTGTTGAACTGTAAAAGCATGGTGGCTGTTGGTGTCAAGTGATTCCTCAGTGATTCTCAGTTACTGTCTGAAAGAGGATATATTATACTCATTTTCAGGTTCATATTAGCATTTTGTGCTTCTACTGTGACATGTTTACATTAATTAATGTTCAAAAAATGTTTTATTTCTCTCAAACTACCTCTTTTCACCCTCCAGCCCAGTCTGCTCTGATTGGTTAGCAGGCTGGCTATGTTGTGATTAGTCAACCTCTTACGTGTGATCTGCTGGCCTTTTCCCGACCCTTAGCATATTATGTACAATGTGTTAGAGTGCTAGCCAATAGAAGTGCGTTCTTACTTATTCTCAAGTCCGTCTTCCCAAATACTTTGTTGTGTTTTTGAATGCCATTATTGGGATGTTGTGAGTAGTTGAAGGGCGGCTGAAGCAGGGCTGCTTCCAGGAACTATGATCAGTAATCTGACATTCACAAGGCTGTTTTATTGTTAGCGAGAGAATTGGTGACGTTTCTCCTCAGTGCTGCTGTCCATATTTTCCAACTGGACTCTGTTCCAAAGCAGTTCTGGCACAGTGTAGAGAAAAAAAGCATCACCCCCTTTTTACAGTAATATAGTTGCATAATGTTGATTTAAATGTAAACCAGAACAAACCGTGACAAACACACTTTGTATGGCACGTTCAAACCTATAGTGCCACATTGCTATGGCGCAATTCACCTCTCTACATCTTCATCATCATCCTCATCATCATCACCCATTAGCATCTTACTCTATAGTCTTCTCAGCATACACCAGCTCAGAATATGAGTGTTAAAACAAATGAAACATGGCACCCTTAAAAAACACAGCAAAGAGTGGTTGACCTTCTTTCAGAAAATAAACACAGACATTACTCAGACTTGCAGAAGGGGGGTGGGTGTAAGCTGAGGCAAGGTGCTGACATGGGTGAAGGTGGGTGGGGGAGTTCAGTGTGGCAGTGGAGAGGGAGAGCTGAGAGGTTTGAGATGTTGGATTAAGAGGAGAATAATTTGGAAGGAGGAGCTGAGGGCATGCAGCGGTTTGGCGAGTGCAGGTTTACGTTTGGAGAAGGAAGGGAGGGGGGGGAAGGAGATATATGATGTGGTATTGGGATTCATCCAATTTACACACACGCATGAACCCTGCTGGCCGTGTAAACACACCATGACTGGATGTTGGCTAAAGTGCCCGGCAAATCAGAAGGCAGGAAGGCGGGACAAGTGAACCAAAGAGTCAGCTTTTGGGTGGGGAAAGAGAAGGGAATAAAGGCCAAAAGAGTCCCAGTGACACAATGAAAAAGAGGCTGGAGTCAGGAGTTAAACTCATCTCTCTTACTCCCCCGGCTTCCCACTGACTCGTCTTCTCTCAAATGTTCAAAATGTGCTTTATTGGAAATACCCTGATAAAGGAAAGTACTGCCAAAGTTGGATAATGTAATTTGAGTCTGCATTTGCAATCATCACACAGCTCTGGTTAAACCTTTGTCAAACTAGTTTTCTTTCACCACTTAGAATTCGCACAACATAGATAGAGTGACTGGATGTTCATTTGGAGAAGAACACCAAACTGAGGAGGACACAGTGTCGAGGAAAGAGAAAGAAACAGTACGTAAGAGAACTGTCTACTTTCAGATTTACAGTGGTGGTGGTGGTGGTGGGAGAGATTTGGCTGTGCACACAGGAGGAGGAAGACAGATTTACACGGTGAGAACAGCCCTGGCTGCTCTGGAGCACCACACTCCAAGACACACAGCCTACTGTTCTCCATAGATATCTTATTTACACACAAAAGAAGTGACTACTGCTTCAGCATGAAAACAAAACACTTGCATATTAAAAAAATCCACACCATTTTCCACACTCAATCATCATGTGAAATTAGTGAAATCATATTTTCCACACTCAAAGTCCATTCTTCCCAAGCCGCCTATGAAGATGTTACTCTGATGATTTATTGATCTAAAATCCACAAGGGGTTTAGTGTCAAGAGTGTCTTTCTGCTATGAGCTGTAAAATAATGCATTTATGGACTGAAGCGCTACATTGCATTCGTTTGTCTTGATCAACAATCTGCCATACTTATCTTCGATCTACAACTATTGAATGGCATGCCTTGATATTAGATACAGATATTCATGATCCCCAGAGGTTTAAACCAGAGCTGTGAAAATGTGTCAAATGTTCTCTGCCAATGCCAAACAGCTTTCTTTTTGCTGTTGACTCTTTTTTGGTGTTGTTTGGTGGATTGGATGATTGAAGTCTGACTAAACAGACATATTGGCAATTTAACAATGTATTCATTTAAGTGCAGTTATGGCAGCCTCCTGGCAGCCCTATGAGATGAGATTGGTTGCGTGCAGTTTGTTCTGGATTGTCTGGGCAGAGAGCCGTCGGCCATTATCGTCCTGTAAACCTTGACTGCAAATCTATAGTACAGTAATCTCCCAAACTCAAATGTCCTTACTTTTCATGCTATGTTTATATCAATTTAAGGCAAGGGTAGGGAATTTGTTTTTAGAAGCATTTTTTGTTATGTTGTACATATAGCCCATTTACCTGCAATCATACATATATAGTAAAACTCATTGTTCGTGACCAAAGTCTTATCCAGACTAAATGTCCCTATACAGAGTTGTTTTCTTGCTTGTTACAGAGACATGATGTAGAAAAGTATGGTCAGTGATGACAAGGATGTGCTGCACTTATCTTCCCAACGCTTCCCAATGTTTAGGAGTAGTGGCTTTAGAGCAAAGCCTGAAGCGAGGGGGGTTTTCCATGTGTATACTTTCAGAATCTAGCTTACTCATGCTAATTTCCCAAAAGCTGCTTACCCCAACTTTACCTGAATTGAACATCCAGGCTTCTTGATGATATTTCCTCTTTAAACTGAGGTTGTTTCCGTCAAACCTGTTTACTTTCACATATACTTACCACAAACTATCATTAATTTCCCTCTCAGTGTAAACAATAATAACAGAGCAGAGCAGGAAATGGGCTATTATGAGTCTCTGTGTGAAGGTCTGTCCTGTGTGTTTTCAACTGGGGATAAACCCCTGTAGGTGTGTGTGTGTGGCTCTGTGTGTGTGGCTCTGTGTGTGTGTGTGTGTGTGTGTGTGTGTGTGTGTGTGTGTGTGTGTGTGTGGTGTGTGGGTGTGTGGGTGTGTGGTGTGTGTGTGTGTGTGTATGTGTGTGTGTGTGTGTGTGTGTGTGTGTGTGTGTGTTTGTGTGCCTCTTTTGGGGTTTTACTCCTTATTTAAGACCAATATTTACCCAGCAGCCCCAGGGTGAGATTACCTCATATTCTCCCGCCCAGCTGTGCTTTCTCAGCGTTTCCACGACGACCGGCGGAATGTCCCATCATGTTTATCTGCCAGTCGGGAAAACAGAGAGCGGAGAGAGATGGAGAAGATACATTGAGGTAGAGTATATACAAAGACACTGGTGCGCTCACACTCTTGTGTATTAATAATCACACAGGAACGCATAAAACACAAAGTTACTGTCACTAATGAGACAACATGTTAACAACATGTTACTGAAAGAGGATCCATACTGCCAAATTAATTTGAACTGCAGCCTTTTTAAGAAAATATTTCAAATGAAACACTTAATTAAAGATATAACATGCAACATCTCATTATAATGTTTAAAAACCACTAGTCCTATATTTAATTTGTTGTTTAGGTGTGATCAGTATCCCAAAGGTTTACATGTTTTCAAACGTAGACAAATCCAAAATTGTAATTAAGGTAAAAGTCTTATTTAGTATTGTCTCTCTTTTGTGCATGCATCAATGTGCTAGTCTTCCCAAATAAATATGACTTTTCTTCTAGATTAAGCCATTTTTACGATACATTGTTTAGATCATAAATGTATTTAAAACTCATTAAGACATACAATTATGAATGCAACTAATTGAAAGGCATAATGAGTAGGATCTCGTATAGAACAATTCATGGACTCAAAAAATAATGACCTACTGGAAGTTTGGTGGAGTATTTATCTGCAGAGCCCTCTGCTTTATTTTCATTTTGGGACGTTTCTGGACGTCAACTTCTATGAAAACTTAGCAAGCGCTCGCCAGATTGTAAACAAGGCATCCAAAAGTAAGCTGGCACAGCTCCAAACAATAAAATAGCAAGGCAAGACCCCAATAGGGAAAAGACTAGTCCTAAATTAAAAATGAATTTGTAGTTTGCTGTATCCTCAGTAAGCCAGTAGACTCTCTTAATGCTTTGTTTACAAACCGCAACCAGTTAATCTTTTTTAGTAATTAACAAATTACTTTTTTGTCTGCAATTATGTTATAATGGATCATGAAGCATTTATTCATTTTTTCAACCCTGTTAAATATAAAGTATGGCCGATTAGAGAGTGACCAAACTTGCTGTTAATGGTTGGAAAGTGACCTTACATCACAATAGCAAAAGCAACAAACAGTACTCAATACGACTTCTTAAACCTAACAACAGCACAAGACCACCACTCAAATAAAAACAAATCACATGTTGGTTGCAGGGACCTGGCAACCAACTGCATTAATGAATGGCATCTTCAGCTACAATGCAAATCTCTGTCAAGCTCCATAGGTGACTGACCAAAACCCCTGACTTCCCAGAAACGGCCAAAGAGAACTTATCATAATTCAGCAATAATATGATGAGTTACCCAGTTAGTCCACGTCTGTGAAACTAAACGTTTGAACATTGCATGTCTCAGGAAGAACTTGTCATCATGAGTGGGCTTTAAACCACCAGCACTACACTGGCTGAATTCATAAACCTTCAGAACAGCTCAGTGTCTCCTCCTTAAACCACAATAGTTGATTTGCCCTTGAGTGAGTTATTTAACCCCAAGAGACTAAAAGTCTGCAGACTGTTTTTGTTCCTAACAGAACCTGTGTTTATGTATGAAATGCAACCTTACTTCCTGCCTTTTCAGTTATTAGGCCAATCGCTGTTTGTGTTCTCAGTCAAACTGTCTGATTCGAGTCAAATTAAATTAAATACTCGAAAAACTTTATTGGGTAAAGCAAGAATGAAATAGCAGTTGGCAAGTCTTGTGCGATTTCTGTAAATGTCCTCCTGTAGGTCAGCTAAGCAAAACGATACTCATCATAAGAACTGAGATAGATGCTTGTATTACTTCCACCCCAAAAAGATAATAACTTGTAAAAAGTTGTGGGAAAATTGTGTACACTTTTTTGTCATTATTGGCTTTCAGAAAATCATGAACAATGGGTGACTGGGTTCATAGAGGTTGTCTCAGTGAAGCCTTATTCTTTTTAGCCTAGAAAGCTTATAGTATTCAGGTCACTATCTTTGTTAACAACAACAATATTACAAAGTGTTGGTCTCAGTAATACAGGACTTGTAAAAGTGTCCTAGCACAGAGGCAAAGAGCCCACAGTTACAGCAGTGTCTCTCTCAGCAGTTCCTGTAGTGTGGACTCTGTCCTGCCATGGGAACGGACAGCTATTTGCTTTAATTTGCAACAGAAAAGCTTGTGGCGTATAGTGACTGTTAGGGAATGTTCTATGTGGTCTTCTTTCGGCCTGTTTAAGTGATAAAAGTGTCATTATTTAGCCTCTGAAGCAGAGGGGAGAGTGCAAACAAGACTGTATGACCCTCTGTCAAGAGCCTCCGTTCTTCAGAAGCTCATTAAGGGCCTCCAGGAGGACAGAGCATCAATTGGCAGGGACCGCAGCTTCCTCTTGGCTTTTTAAGCCTCTCTCCTCGGATTCAACCCAGTCACCGGCTGGCTTACTTTAGAAATGGACTCAATTTAGAGGTAGAGGGGATATGAAAGATGTCTCGCTGTGAGGAGGCATAGGCGACTTATTAAAACAGCAGGTTAAAACCCTTGGACTTGAGCCAAATAGGATCTCACCCTGTCGACCGGATTTGGAGACATTTGGATTTACTTGTTGAGATGCTTTCCCCTTTTGATCTCTGTGACTGGTGAGTGACTTCAGCCAGTCCTGCAACCTTTGATTGGCGTCAGTTTGTATGCTTGACTGAATAGCAGACTTATAAATGTTGCATATCCTTTGAGTCTGCGGTTTGGGACTGAATGTGGACATGCAGGGCCGCTTAGACTCCACGTTAATAGATTTTGTCAGTGACATGAACATGATGGAGTTTCCGCAAAAGTTCGCATCGGAGGCCAAACGGCAGGTGGATGATGACGCATCCAGCCCGGACACCCAGACGCGGCTGAGCGACTCGCCCTGGAGCGACATGGAGGACGACGAGCACGAACTGAGATACTGCAGCGCGCACGGCCATCACAGCAAGTCCAAACGGAGGCGGATCATCAACGTGGTCCAGCGGCAGGCGGCCAATGTGCGGGAGAGGAAGAGGATGTTTAGCCTGAATGAGGCGTTTGATGAACTGAGGAGGAAAGTTCCCACATTCGCCTACGAGAAGAGACTGTCCCGTATAGACACACTCCGGCTGGCCATCGTCTACATCTCCTTCATGACGGACCTGCTGGAGAACACCTGATTTAAAAGTGTCCAATATTAACTTTTCCCCCTGGAGATTGGATTCAGTTTAATACGGAAATGGTTGTGAACTGATCTTAATGTGCATTCGTTTCAGCTTTATTCAAACTATTCAAGATACGACAAATACATATTTAAAAACTACAGTTTTCACACAGTCTTTCTTATTTACAACGTCTCAGAAATATCCCTTATGTCAAAAACGTTTATCGGTGAAATATTTTCTTTTCTTTCAACAATTATTAAGACAACAATTATAAAACCAGCACAGCATTAATTCCAAATATTTCCCTAAGCCTAATATATGAGTGAGTGACTTTTTGCTGCTTAAAAATAAATCAAAATGCTCGTATAGTTTCGGTGTTCTTTGCTCTGCAACATTAAGAAAACAACTTAATTGTGTTTAAACTCGTCAATGCCTATAGCTATAGCCTATTATAATGTAATTCGCGTTTATTGTCTAGAATTAGAAGCCTGCTTCCAACATTTGAAAAAGTGTACATCTTACACAGTAATAAAAAAGTGTGCTAATAAAAGTTGGCAGCACATTTAAGATGCTAAGGTTAAACGCTTCAGGTGTGTTATTTATTTCAGCACCTTGGAGAGCGACACAGCCTCACCTGTCCTTGTGCAGATGGGACAGGTGTGGCTGAGATCAAGGGAAGCTTAAAGATTTGCTCAGAACAAAAACAAGATTTACTGGGCCTTAAACATTATCAACTGTGTGTCACGTGCAAATGAGCAAAGATTACTCGGATTTGAATCGCAAAGTCAAGTCTCACTGCGTGACGATGGGTGTTATCTTTATCACTGAGGTGTAAATTGAGTCATTGCAGGGAGATCCAGGCCCGACAGGCGCTTGTGGCGGGTCTTCCTGATATAAAGGGACCAGACCTGGCCTGCTGTGAACCTCCTCCTCCCTCATCAGAGCTGAGGCCTCCCTGTGGATGATTCACACCACAGACCACCTCCAAAAGTTGCCAGATTTAGTTTCAGCCACATCTAGAGGCTGGTTTTTGATATTGTAGCGTGGCAGGCCCCACAGCTGGGTGGTCATGTGTGCGTGTTTAAACTTTGTGCGTGCGAGTCTCTCTCTCTCTCATCACCTCCGGTGTTTGCATTGCTCTCCAGCCGTACACCGCCTTCCCGCTGTGAGCTCGGATCCGCCCTGAGAGCTCCCTGGGTCGGCCGGTCTTTTAAACCTGAGCCTCGGTGTCCAGATCCCTGCGGGAGTCAGACCCATTTCAGCGCATACCTCAACGCGGGGCTGCTGACGGGAAAATAAACACCTCGCTCTGCTTACGAGCTGAGCCCTCCTACTGTGACAACCTCCTGTGTTTCAGTAGGTCTGATATTTTTTTACCGCCACCACTGCTCCCAACTCAGTGTCTAGACCTGTGCAGGGAGACTTAAAAGCCGAACAGACTAAATGTAATTGTAATAAGAAATACATGCCAGTCAACCTATATAAAGAGGCATGGCAACTGTTAAAAATAACTTGAAACGTATTAAAACAGCAAATGCATCAAGGTATTCAAAATAAATATTAATTAATATTAGTTAATAGGCCTTACTAACATACTTAGATGTGTTAAAAGTTGATGGTGCTGCAAAAATACTTTATACTATTTGTTTATGACAAACAGTCCAAATGGCATAGTGGGGATTTTCTATAAAAATACGTATTATTCAGCTATTGCAAGATGTTAAACAGCTCCAGTTATGATACGGCTAGATTAACTCGTTAATTTCCTTACAAAAAATAGTTGTTCTGTTTAATTTACACTACAGGCCAAAATTCAACACTTTAAGAAAAAAGAACAATGTGTATTAGAGGCAGAAGTAAACAGGCGTAGATAATGGAGAAATATTGAATCCCCTAAAACAGGAACAGTTTCTGCTTCCCTTGCACAAATCTACACATATGATTCAACAACACTTCGCCCCACACCCTCTTTCGCAATCTTGTGTAAGGGAGCCTCAAGGAGTCTTAAACAGCATTTCTGATATTATAGCTAGAACTCGCCTTCCCCTGCAGTATTGGGTTACACCCCTCCTCACCCAATCACAGCACTCCCCAGAATCCTCCTGCCCTCTCCCCTCTATAAGAACCCCGGTCCTCCCAGTCTGGCAGACACCTCTCCCTCTCTTTGGCGCACGAGATTTACCGTAATACCAGCCCACCCCCCCTTTCAGGCCACACTTCTTATTACCTGTCGTGTTTGTTGATGTTGTAGCCAGTTTCCTGAATTTGGGTCAGGGGTTATTACGCTCCCACAGACCATATACAAGTTTTGGAAGAGACGATGCGGGAAGAGGACTCCTCTCCAATGGACAGTGCGGGAAACAGCGAGGAGGAGACCGACCGTGAGCTGCCCAGGAGAGGCGCGAGGAAGCGGCGAGCAACACGGAGGCGCGCAGATGACAAGGTTGAAGAGGAGGGAGACTTGGAGAGTCCGAGCATGGAGACCGGGAAGAAGAAATGCAGAAAGAGCTGCGAAGGAGGAGGCGGCAGCGCGGGGAGCGGCGACAGCGAGGCCAGCAGCAGCAGCAGCCCCGAGCCCTCCTTCGATGACCTGCACACACAGCGCGTGGTGGCCAACATCCGCGAGCGCCAACGAACGCAGTCCCTGAACGAGGCGTTCACGTCGTTGCGTAAGATCGTTCCAACCCTCCCGTCAGACAAACTCAGCAAGATCCAGACACTAAAGCTGGCGTCCCGGTACATCGACTTCCTGTGCCAAGTTCTGCAGAGTGACGAGCTGGACGCGCGAGCGACCAGCTGCAGCTACGTGGCGCACGAGCGCCTGAGCTACGCGTTCTCGGTCTGGAGAATGGGGGGCTCGTGGTCCTTGTCTACTACTACCACTACTACGACGTCCCACTAGCAGGGCTGCTGTGGATGGTACAGCACGGTAAGATGAGCGACTTCAACTTTTCATCCTGCAGGGAGACAAACCGTGCCAAAATGTTCCAATGCGTATTTTACGCATGACCAATCTTAAAGTAATATTATTTTAATGTCCTTCCAGGGATATTATTGCTCCAATGTTTGCATGGAATCCCCCCAAAACACTTCCCTGAAGACTGTGACTAAATAGTGTTCACGTTATTTGTAAGACAGCCTCAAGATTGCACAATCTATTTGGAAGTTGGCTACTTAGAAAATATGGGAAATGTGCTTTTTTTTACCCCAGAAAATGTTTACATGCATACCTCAAAGGCCACAACCAGTTTACTGCTGCAAGTTTTATCTTCAAATGCATTACATTTTATGCAATTTTTCTGTGTTGGATGTTTTATTAATCTAAATAATGTTTCTTTTACAGAATATCCAGAGTGCAGAACCAGTGGATCAGGCCGACCCTTCAGATAGACTGAAACAGGCTGAACACAGATGAAGGGCCTGCCGCTGTGGGCCTCGGAGGAGAGTGGGCTTTTCATATTCCCTGCTGCAAGGACTGTAATGTTTGCAAGGGAGCACTTAGGACAGACAGGACGGATATGAAGAAAGAAAGACCACTGCGACCATGAATGTTGTAAAAACAGAAAGTGATTTCTGAGGAGCCACTCTGTTTTGAAACATGAGAGAAAAATGACAATTCATTCCCTGTGACAGTGTTTCACAGCAAATGAAGTACTCTGTATTTATTTTTCTACAGAGGCTCGACATTCCTTTTTCTTCCACTCAAATAAAAGTTATTTATTTTTGGGATATCCCAGAATGCTGAATGGATCAGAAATCTGCGCATTTTGAGTGTTGTAAATATTTGCTAATATCTTGAATAAAAAAAATGAAAGTATCATTCTTACCTCTCAATTGTCTGGATATGAATCGTAGACTTTAACTTAAGCTTAATCACAAAAATAATAAACCGAAGGAGGTTGTTTGACACACATAATTAAATACCTGACATTTTTGGAAACTAACTCATGTCCCATAGTCTCAGCACTTTGAGCCTATGCAGAGAGTTTGTTTTCATTGGTTGTTGCTGAATCCCCTGTTAACTGAACCACAGTGGAGGGGGCAAAAGAAAACATTTCATACCCGGGGCTTATTCTGTAGTGATTTCTTGAGCTCAGGGATCTGGGGAAGCCATAATTAGCTGGTGGTCTGTTTGAACAGTGTGAATGTGGAGCTGTGGGACGCATGCACCATATTCCCAGATGTCCTCTGAGCCACAGGTCAGCATGGGAGTCTCTGCAGGTGCAGCAGTAGCTACCCCAAGAGCTCACAGATAAAAGGGTTGGATACGGGTCATAAAGCAAAATGAATAGCCTGTGCGATTACATATTTCTGCAATTCTGAGGAAAAAAACTGCTTATAATAGTGATACAATGTAAAAACAAATTAATTTCAGCAGGCACTTGTGATGTTAAACTCAAAGCGGTCCTATGTCATGAGGTTCTTTCTAAATATTCTAAATTATACAAATGTTCAATGTTCACTTTCTATTTCTTCTGTTTTAATGTTTCATAACAAATTGCATTGAAATCATATGTGATCAGGTTGTGTTACAAAATAAATGTTCTACTGAAACACCAAACCTGAAACATTAGTAATTAGAGTTTTTATTTTTTAGGAAAATTGAGGTTTATGTAGACATTAGAGGCTGAGGAGCAACACATATCGAACTGCAGAAAAAAAAGTCTCCATGAGCAAAATCTGAAAAGCTTGGACTCTCTTACTGTAGCTATTGAACACTTGCCAAAAATATGAATATAAATATGTGTATTTTCTGGACTTAAAGGGGCGCTAAATGAATACAGGGACCCAAAACAACCCTTTGTATATCAGTTACTTACCCTGCGTTACCATGAACTATGAAACAAAAAGCAGAGAAAAGTCTTGATGAATTGAAGTTTATGATGGCCATGTTTAACAACAGCAAAACTATATCAATACATTGTCTACTCACACAGCTTGTGTAATATAATAAAGTTAATCTAGTTTGCTGTTGTTACATTTTGCCCCCATTGTCTTCAATTCAAGATTTCTTCTAGGTTTTTGGATACTTAGTTCACATGAAGGCATTGCGTGAAAAACGTTTTCTTTTTCTTTTTTTAAGTAACACAATGTGAGGAATAAATGTACAAATGTTCATTTTAGTAAAGTAAAGTATTCCTTTCCAAAGGTTTCCATCCCATGAATGTTCGTAAATGTCACGTACAAAATGCTCAAAGATGACACAGTGAAATACTGTAAAGTCCCAAAGGAATGGGCTATTACACGTTGTGCTTTCATAGATAAAAGAAACCGACACACTCTTTATCATAGTGCGTTCCATATCTCTCCATAGGGCTGTTGAGGGATGATTCTGGAAGAATTACTGTGTTTTTGCTTCACGGGTTGCGTGCGGAAGGTAAAGCCATCAGCTCTGACCCGAGGTCCTCGCCTGCAATCGGGGGGGAATCGATTCCCACCCTTAGATCACCGTGGCCGTGTTATCTTAAACTTGAGGCTGTTGCTCTGACACAGAGGAATGTCACCTCTGAGGCTTCGAAACACACACACACTCACACACACACACAGACACACACACACACACACACCCACACCCACACCCACACACACACACACACACACACACACACGCAGACGCAGACGCACACGCACACGCACACGCACACACCACACACACACACACACACACACACACACACACACACACACACACACACACACACACACACACACACACACACCACACACAGACACACACTAATATAGGTTATACACACAACGAGGGAGATTTCTCACGCCTACCAAACAGGGAAATAAATTCCACAGAGAGAGGGGGAAGAAGAGGGCTCCTGCAACCCAGCTCCTGCCCCCCCCCCTTTGATGTTTTGAGGTAATGGGATGACCGCTTGTTATCAGCGTGAAGGCATCTGGCTCTCTGGATATAAGTGTGCTATGATAAACTCTTTGATGACTGACACACACACTCTCTCCCGATCATTAATCACCGTTTATATATCACTGCTTTGGGCCTGCAGACCTTCAGCTGATCTTAAAGTCAAAGGTGCAGGCCTGTGTGTGTTTTAATAACACCAGGAGCTGTTCATCTTTGTAGAAATTGATTTCACACACATCCACAAAGATAGTAGGCCTTAGTCGTTGTTTGTTTGCTTTTTTAAACGTATACAGCCCTGCTGTCTTCCTCATTTCGTTCTCTCTCTGAAGTTCCCATTACGGGGTAACAAGAGCTGGTTTACATTAACCCTCAACACCACAAAAGACAGGGGGGAGAGGAAGCTGAACTGACAAACACACACACACACACACACACACAGAAAAAAGAGACTATATTTGCAAGTCTGGTTTCCATTAGAGCAAATTATCTGTGTTTCATCTCAACCTAAAGCTGTTAGTGTGTGTATTTGCAAGTGTATAATGTGTCTTTGTATGTGAGCGTTAGAGTCTTTTATTTATGTTCTGCTGTTGTTTAATCATAATCCCAATCTTCTGAAATGCAATAAAATAGTGCTTTGCATATCACTGCAGCATCTCAATCTTAAATCATCCATGACAGCAAACTTGGTGAAGATACAGCACCGATACTAATTTGTTTTTGGCATACAGCAGAACTTTTGAGCATATTTAATGGTCATACAAGGTTGATTTCTCCTTTTCCAAGCGTTTTCTGTCTGTTTGTTTATAATGCACACAGTATTTAATATGAATCAATTGGTTACAGGGGGCACTTTATCAGTATGGTGTATTGCATAAAGAAGAAATAAATCCAGAAACATATACAAAACTTTTGGGATTTTTTGGAGTTAGTGAATTCAATAATGTATCAACTAGCACAAATAGCCAAACATCATCCCAAAACAATCACAAACCAGCCAAATGCTTTCATTATCATTTCATATTTACTGGGGGCGGGGGGAGGTTCTCAGCAACATAGTACTTCTTTTCAATATAAGATATCAATAGAGAAGTAATATGGGGAGAACTCAGCAGAGTATTTAACACTTTGAAAGAGATAGCCTTGTTTTTAAGAGTTAGGGGCTATGTTAAAATAAGCAGGAAGTAATAGAGTGACAGGAGTGACAGAAAGGAAGTCGGGGCAGAGCAGCGCAGTAACATAATGAGCTCTCACACATTCCCTGAGGACGGTGCCAACTTCACCCATCACTCCCGACCTCTGACCTCTCAAAGTGACCCCCTACCCAGTCTACAGCGACCCCCAGCTGGACCACGAGCCACCACATTTACCTCCACAAAGCAGCCACTCAGTTCACTAATACCTATCAGATGGATGGACAGAGGAGTACAGGGAGAAGGGGAATGG